CCCCAGGCTGCCCTTAGGCAACCTAGAGTGGTGGCTGCAGATGCAGTGGCTGCACGGACACAACTGTATGGCTAGATCTGACACGCATGCAGGAGTGGGGGCATAGGTGCAAATTATTATTATACAGGATTTATATAGCGCCAACAGTTTGCTCAGCGCTGTACATTATAATGGGAGACAGTACACGAGACAGTACAGTAACAATACGATTTAATACACGAGGGGTTCGAGGGCCCTGCTCCTTGGAGCTTACACTCTAGGAGGGAGGGGATAGTGGTACAGGAGGAAATAGCTGTGGGGGATGGAGTGGTAGGCAGAGTAGAGGAGTTCAGTAATTAGCTGAGGGCGGGGTAGGCTTCCCTGAAGAGATAGGTTTTCAGAGTGCGCCTAAAAGTGAGGAGATTAGGTGATAGTCTGATGGATTGGGGTAGGGAGTTCCAGAGGATGGGGGAAGCCCTGAAGAAGTCCTGGAGATGGGCATGGGAGGAGGAGACCAGGGAACTAGAGAGTAGGAGGTCTTGTGAGGAGCGGAGAGTACATTTTGGGTGGTATTTGGATACCAGATCGGTGATGTAGTTTGGGACAGTATTATGAACAGCTTTATACGTCAATGTTAGCATTTTGAATTTTATCTGTTGGGCAATTGGAAGCCAGTGGAAGGATTGGCAGAGGGGGGTGGCGGATACGGAGTGGTTAGTAAAGTGGATGAATCTGGCCTCAGCATTCAAGATAGACTGAAGCGGGGATAGCCTGCAGTGAGGTAAGTCGATGAGGAGGGAGTTACAGTAGTCGAGGCATGATATAATAAGGGAGTGAATGAGTTGCTTAGTAGTTTCCGGGGTTAGGAACGGACATATTTTTGGAGATGTTGCGGAGGTGAAGTCTACATGAGTTTGTCAGTGAATGGACCTGGGGCTGGAAGGACAGATTGGAGTCTAGGATGACACCTAGTACTTTGGCTTGAGGGGACGGACTGATAGTGGTGTTGTTGGTCTTGTGTGTGCACCTTCTCCTGCGTGAAAGTCAACTTTCGACATTAAGCCCTGGTTCACACTGATGCAGTGCAGAATTTGCAGCGTTTTCCGCACCGCATCAGAATAGCACTCTGTTCATGTGAACCGCTGCAGGTGTGTATGTTAAGTTAACGATACCCCGAGCATGTGTGAATACCTATGCGATCCGATTCTAGTGCAGACCCAAAAAAGGGTCCTGCGCATTTTGGTGCGGGTGCGGTGTGTGAATAGAGCCATACAAAATGTATGGCTCCGATCGCACCACACACAAATCGCATGTGATTTGAGCAGGAATGCTGTGCGGTTCCTGTGCGGATCACATGCGATGTACGGAGCCACACGTATGTGAACCCAGGCTCAGCTGCTGCATCTGCACCCACCTTTATAGGATGTCTGTGTGTAGCCCGGGCCAGATGCAGGGGCAATAACATATGTAGCATGCACGCAGAACAGGTGTCAACGCCTGTCTGAATGAGCCTGGGTTCACATACGTGCGGCTCCGTATATCGCATGTGATGTGCAGAGGAACCGCACTGCATTCCTGTGTACATCACATGCAATTTGCGTGCAGTGCAATTGGAGCCATACACTTCGTGTGGCTCTATTCGCATCGTACCCGCACCAAAAATGTGCAGGACCCATAAACTTGCGTTTAACCCCTACGCACCCCCACCCCACCCCTAACAAGAAGTGTAGTGTCAGTGTAATTTCTGATCACTGTCACCTGTGATACACTGCACACAAAACCACAGCGTTACCAGAATCAGGCCTGATCTCTGCTAGCACTAGCAGGTGAATTTTAATTGGTAGCGGTTCAAGCAGTCCCTGACAGCCAGGCGCTCTTTTTCCCTGGAGTCGCACTAGGTACCTGTAAATTTAGAGCTCAAAATGTCCCACAAAAGGTACACTAGTGAAGAAGCCTACAGGATTCTGAACATGACAGATGAAGGGGAAGCCTCTCTGACAGAATCCACCTCAGAATACGAAACTGTAGAAAACAGCAGCACCCCGTCAGGTAGTTCAGACGATGGAGAAGAGGTCCCTGTTAAGAGCAGGCATAATTCACCCCATAAAGCTGAAGTGCTAGAAACGCATGACTTGTCTCATATGCAGCATGGTGCCAGTACTAGTGCCGCACTACCTTTTGGTGAACTGGCGAGCATCAGCGGCCCATTACATCCTGGTCTTTTTCATACCATCACTGCAGTATCACTGTGTGACATGCAAGTCCTATAAGTGCAGTACAAGCTGTGTGTGGTGGCGAGCACAAGTAGCATCCCGCAGCCACCAAGAATTTGCACGCAGGCACGTAGAGCCCATAGTCTACGTCTGGATGTGCTTGCAAATCCTGATTGGCAGCCCACAGATTCTGCAGCACCCATAATTCCCCTGTTCACTGCCCAACCTGGAATTCAGGTGGAAACAGCAAATTTAACTACTCCCCTTGATTTTATGGAGCTGTTTTTCACAGAAGGATTTGTACAATTTGATTGTGGACCAAAGCAATTTATATGCACAACAATATATCACCGCCAAACCAAATTCAGCTTTTGCCAGACAATTTGCATGGAAACCTATTATGGGTTCCGAATGTAAAACTTTTTGGGCCTAAACCTCAACATGGGCATTACAAAAAAGGATGAGTTGCGGTCATATTGGTCCACAGACCCAATTCATCATATGCCCATGTTCTCTGCTGCCATGACCAGGCATAGATATGAGACAATAATGTGCTTCATGCATTTCAGTGATAACACAATCTGTTGTCCTTGGGTGACCCTGAACATGACCAGCTTTACAAAATTCAGCCCCTCAAAATGCAGTCCCGCATAAACCAACTCATTGAGAAATTTGGAGATGTGTATACGCCCCAGCAAAACGTCTGCACGGATCATTCCCTCATTCACTTTACTGGCCACTTTGTATTTAACCTCTTCACGCCGGCCGCACACAAATGTGTGGCCTCCCAGCATCTGGGCCTAGACACCGAGCGGCAGCACATTTGTGTTCCATTAAAAAAAAAACATATGTGCTGAGAGCGCACGCCCTAAGAGCTCCCAGCAGACATGTCCGACACTCACGGAAAGGTCCCGGTCTTCTCTTTCGATCGGGACCTTTCCCGATCATGTGACCGCCGTGATGACGCATCACGGCGGTCACATGATCCCAAAACCCTGCCCTTGGCTTTTGAAACTCTTAAAGGGCCGGGAGGCGTCAGCGGAAAGGTGTTTAAACAGTACCTCCCCAGCAAGTGTGCCAGATCTGGATACAAACTGTATAAGCTCTGTGAGAAGTCCTCAGGCTATATATATAAGTTTAGGGTTTACGAGGGAAGAGACAGCAAAGTAGAGTCCCCTGACTGCGCAGACTACATGGGGAGTGGCAAGATAGTTTGGGACTTGGTGTCGTCTTTGTTCCATAAGGGGTACCACTGATACGTGGACAATTTCTATACAAGCGTGCCACTATTTAGAAACTTGTACAATCTTGGAATTTGTCAGAGATGCGGGTGTGACCAGAGATGTGTGTACTGACACAGGGAAACACAGGCTCCAGATATGGTATAAACAAGACAATTTATTAAGACTAACAATACAAACATAAACGCAGTGCACCAAACTCCAAGCTAACACAAATACATACAACAAGGTGAAACAAACCCAAACCTAAACTGATACAGATACACAGGTACATACACATATAGAGCACAACGTAGTCAGGCAGGCCGGGTCGATAACTATCGGGCAGGTAGGTACAGGAGGAGCAGGCGGAGAGAATGGTCAGGGTCCCAAGCCAGGGATCAAAACAGGAGAAGTCAGCAGAGGTCAGGATCAGGCAGGGTCGGCAACAAGTCAGGCAGAAACAGGAACAGAAACAGGAATGCAGGTTACAAGTCACAGGGGCCCATGGAAAAACACACACCAAGGCCCAGACTGCAGGTCTGGCCATCCCTTAAATACACCTGCAATCAGCCCCAGGTGATGGCTAATTGCCAAAGTGAACCTCTGGTTGTTGAGAGCACCCGCTGGCCAGCCCTGGTACTGCAGCCCACAAGGCAGGTGAGTCCCACCACTATTGGCAAGTCCATTCCTGACAGTACCCCCCCCCTCAAGGAGCGGCCTCAGGACGCTCCAAACAGTCCTAGCTGGGCAAAATGTTCCACCGCCCGGGTCCGGTGACTGGCGGGATATCAAAGACTGGCACATCGGACTGGGCACCGGACGGAGGCACTTCGAGCTGGGCACCGGACGGAGGCACTTCGAGCTGGGCACCGGACGGAGGCACTTCGAGCTGGGCACCGGACGGAGGCACTTCGAGCTGGACACCGGACGGAAGCACTTCGAGCTGGACACCGGACGGAGGCACTTCGAGCTGGACACCGGACGGAGGCACTTCGAGCTGGACACCGGACGGAGGCACTTCGAGCTGGACACCGGACGGAGGCACTTCGAGCTGCACACCGGACGGAGGCACTTCGAGCTGCACACCGGACGGAGGCACTTCGAGCTGCACACCGGACGGAGGCACTTCGAGCTGGACACCGGACGGAGGCACTTCGAGCTGCACACCGGATGGAGGCACTTCGAGCTGGACACCGGATGGAGGCACTTCAAGCTGGACACCGGACGGAGGCACTTCAAGCTGGAGACCGGACGGAGGCACTTCAAGCTGGACACCGGACGGAGGCACTTCCAGCTGGACACCGGACGGAGGCACTTCCAGCTGGACACCGGACGGAGGCTCTTCAAGCTGGACACCGGACGGAGGCACTTCAGGCTGGGCACCGGACGGAGGCACGTCGGGCTGGGCACCGGACGGAGGCACGTCGGGCTGGGCACCGGACGGAGGCACATCATGCTGGACACCGGGCCACCAGGCGGAGCAGCGGGCCACCAGACGGAGCAGCAGGTACCGGGCCACCAGGCGGAGCAGCAGGCACCGGGCCCCCAGGTAGGGTGGTGGGCACCGGGCCACCAGGCGGAGCAGCAGCGGGCACCGGGCCCCCAGGCAGGGCGGTGGGCACCAGGCCACCAGGCGGAGCAGCAGCGGGCACCAGGCCCCCAGGCAGGGCAGTGGGCACCGGGCCACCAGGCGGAGCAGCAGGCACCGGGCCCCCAGGTGGAGCGGCGGGCACCAGGCAACCAGGCAGGGCGGCAAGCACCGGGCCCCCAGGCGGAGCGGCGGGCACCGGGCCCCCAGGTGGGCATCGAGTCGTCTGGCAAGACTGCGGGCACCGAGTCATCTGGCAAGACTGCGGGTACCGAGTCGTCTGGCAAGACTGCGGGCACCGAGTCAACTGGCGAAACAGTGGGCACCGAGTCAACTGGCGGAACAGCGGGCACCGAGTCGTCTGGCAAGACTGCGGGCACCGAGTTGTCTGGCAAGACAGCGGGCACCGAGTCATCTGGCAAGACTGCGGGCACCGAGTCAACTGGCAAGACTGCGGGCATCGAGTCGTCTGGCAAGACTGCGGGCACCGAGTTGTCTGGCAAGACTGCGGGCACCGAGTCATCTGGCAAGACTGCGGGCACCGAGTCAACTGGCGGAACAGCGGGCATCGAGTCGTCTGGCAAGACTGCGGGCACCGAGTCGTCTGGCAAGACTGCGGGCACCGAGTCGTCTGGCAAGACGGCGGGCACCGAGTCGTCTGGCAAGACTGCGGGCACCGAGTCATCTGGCAAGACCGCGGGCTCTGAGTCAACTGGCAAGACAGCGGGCACTGAGTCATCTGGCGGAACAGCGGGCATCGAGTCATCTGGCATAATAGGATCATCAGGCTGGATCAGTTCATCAGGCTGGGTTGAAACATCATGCTGGATAGAGACATCAGGCTGAATGGAGACATCAGGCTGAATGGAGACATCAGGCTGAATAGAGACATCATGCTGGATAGAGGCATCAGGCTGGGTAGAGACATCAGGCTGGGTAGAGACATCAGGCTGGGTAGAGACATCAGGCTGAATAGAGACATCATGCTGGGTAGAGACATCAGGCTGAATTATGGGCGCCGAGGCACCAGGCTGCACCACGGAAGGCAGATTCTCAGATGGGAGGCTGACCGGTTTGGATACTGTCCATCCCTTAAATACACCTGCAATCAGCCCCAGGTGATGGCTAATTGCCGAAGTGAACCTCTGGTTGTTGAGAGCACCCGCTGACCAGCCCTGGTACTGCAGCCCACAAGGCAGGTGAGTCCCACCACTATTGGCAAGTCCATTCCTGACAGAATTGGCTCATGTGGCACCGTGCAACCTAATCGACAGGGTTTCCCCCAACGGTTTGTAAATACCTGACTTAGAAAGGGGGAGAAAGCCTGCTTGAAAAATTATGAATTGCTCGCAGTGAAGTGGAAGGACAAATGGGAAGTTTTCATCCTGTCTTGCATTCAAGCAGTCGTGACAGTCCAAATTAGCACAGTATCTGGCGTTGCTGAGAAACCCCTCTGTGTCCACGACTATAACCATTACATGAGAGGGGTGGACTTCAACAACCAAATGATGAATCCATACCTAGTTTTCCAGAAAGCTGGACACTGGTACAAAAAGGTGTCTATTTATTATTTCAATTGGCGATACATAACGCTTTTGTAATTTACAAAGCATCTGGACAAATTGGATCCTTCCTAAAATTTCAGGAAGAAAACATCACGGCCCTTTTGTATCCAGAAGGTGTTATGGCCCAATCCCAAATCCAGATGCAGTTATCCAGCTGCATGAGAGGTATTTTCCGGATGTCCTCTCTGGTAACCCAAGCTAAAGGTCACCCCAAAGAAGATGTGTCTGTAGCAGACAGGGAATAAGACATGACACCCGCTTTTTTTGTCCCTCCTGTCCTGGCCAACCTGGTCTCTGCCTCAAGGACTGCTTCAGTTGCTACCACAAACTAGTGGAGTATTAGTATAGGGTAAAGCATGGCACAGTCTAGGACACATATTCATAAAAAGAGTGATCAAAAAAAAATAAATAAGTAATAGGGACAGTGTAAAAAAAAGAAGCAAAATAAATAATAATAAAAAAAAATCAAAGCACCCCTGCCGCCCTGCGCTCATGCACAAAGGCATACGCAAGCGTTGGTCATGTGTCAATATGTAAACAGAGATTGCACCATGCATGTGAGGTATCACTGTGAACGTCAGATCGAGGGTAGTAATTCTAGCCTGTAAAGGCGTTTTAAAGCATTGCCTATGGATATTAAAAATGTATGTAGTTTATCAAAGTACTTTTCTAGCAAAAAATACTGATTTTTTTTTTCATGTAAACGAAGAGTATCAGAAAAGGCCTCATCTAAGTGATTGGAAGAGTTGGTGATGTGTGTTAATGTTAGGCATACAATGCCAGAAAATCACAAAACCCACCCAAATGACCCATTTTTGGAAAGCAGACACCCTAAACTATTTGCTGAGAGGCATGTTGAGTCAATAGAAGAATTCATTTTTTACCAAAAGTTTTTGGAAAATGAAAAAAAAATGTTTACACAAAGTTTTCACTTAAATGATATATTGCTTGCTCACATAAGGGAATGTGTGAAATTACTCCCAAAACACATTCTACTACTTCTCCCGAGTATGGGGATTCCACATGTGAGAACTTTTAGCAGTCTATCCAAGTACAGGACCCCAAAATCCAATAAGCACCTTCAGGGTTTTAAAGAGCTTTATTTCCTCATTACACTTCCTGACTACCTATCACAGTTTAGGAGGCCCTGAAATGCCAAAATAGTATACCCCCCCTCCCAAATGACTCGTTTTTGGAAAGTAGACACTCCAAGGTATTTATTAAGAGGCTTGGTGAATATTTTGCAGATCTCATTCATTGGCACAGGTTTTTGGAAGATGAAGAAAGAAAATGAGAATATATTTTTTTATTTTTTTGTTTTATTTTTCAAAACCTTGTGATACAAAATTAGATTGGTAAAATACTCACTATGCCTGTTATTAAATTCCTTGGAATGTCTACTTTCCAAAAAGGGGTAATTTGGTGGGGGATGTGCTATCCTGGAATTTCAGGGCCTGCGAAACTGTGATAGGTAGTGAAGAAGTGAGATGAGGAAGTTACGCACCTTCAGGCTTTCAAAGGGGTCATTGGATTTTGATCTCTTGTATGCGGCTAGGCTGCCAAAAAGTCTCACACATGTGGTATCCTCATACTCAGGAGAAGTAGCAGAATGTATTTTTGGGTGTAATTCCACATACACCCATGGCATGTGTGAGCAATATATCATTTAAGTGACAACTTTGTGTAAAAAAAAAAAAAGTGTCATATTCCAAAAACGTTTAGTTAAAAAAAAAAATCTTCCATTGACTCAACATGCCTCTCAGCAAATAGTTTAGGGTGTCCACTTTCCAAAAAGGGGTCATTTGGGGGGGGGGTTTGCTATCCTGGAATTTCAAAGCTGTTGAAACTGTAATAGGTGGTGAGGAAGTTTACACACCATCAGGTATTCAAAGGGGTCATTGGATTTCGGGCTCCTGTATGCGGGTAGGCTGCCAAAAAGTCTCACATGTGGTATCCCCATACTCAGGAGAAGTAGTAGAAAATATTTTGCAGTGTAATTCCACATACACCCAGGCATGTGTGAACAATATATAATTTAATTGACAACTTTGTGTAAAAAAAATAATCATTTTTAAAATCATTTTCAAAAAACATGTGGAAAAAAATTAACCTTCCATGGACTTAACATGCCTCTCAACAAATAGTTTAGGGTGTCTACTTTCCTAAAAGGTGTAATTTGGGGGGGTGTTTGTGCTGCCCCGGCATTTTAGCACCTCAAGAAATATGATGGGCAGTCAGAAAGTAAAAGCTGTGTAAATTGCAGTATCTATACCATAGTTTGTAGATGCTATAACTTTCACACAAACCAATGAATATGCACTTATTGGGATTTTTTTACCAAATGCATGTAGCAGAATACATTTTGGCCTAAATTTATGACTAAAATTGAGTTTATTGGCTAATTTTTATAACAGAAAGTAGAAAATGTATTTTTTTTTTTCAAACATTTTGGTCTTTTTTTCATTATATATATATAAAAAACCTAATGGTGATCGTATACCACCAAAAGAAAGCACTATTTGTGTGAATAAAGGACATACATTTGTTTGGGTACAGCATTGCATGACCCTGCAAATTACTAGTTGAAACAGAAGAACCAGAGAACTGTAAACGTTTTTATATTTGGGTAATATGTGCAATGGCATTACAGCCAATAGAGTTTACAGTTTTTTTTTTATAAAGTTGCACTTCTGTTTGTCAAAAAAGCAATATTTTTGTTTGTTTATAATACTGCGTATTTCAGTTGACTAAAATACAACTAAAAAAATTCAATGACAAAAATACGACTGAAATTAAAATGGCTTTTTAGAAAAAACTATGACTAAAGCTAAATTGAAATCTGATGGCAAAATTAACACTGGTCACAAGGTGAGAATCTGGAGTAGTGGGCCAATCTGTGTTCTAGATTTGTTAATGCAGCTAAGTACTAAACAAGCACCAGGATTTACAAGACAATTTCATCTATAAGCTAGCATCTCAGTCCAGAATGTAGATTATGATTCAGGATAATGCCAAAACAAAGATGGCGCCATCCTTCTGGAGCTTCAAGCATACATAGTCATTGTCAGTTGTAGATCTCTCCAAGAGGTAATATATGCTTGTAAAGCTTACATTTGCACATAATTTAGTGGGTACTTGGCATGAAAATATATACAGTATCTGAGGATAGGTCTATTTCAAAGTAGAACTAAACTCTCATGAAAGAATACATTTTATTATGTTTTATAGAACACTATAAGAAAAATAAACCAACATTAAAGGTTTCCCCTTATTTTGTCCATGTTTTCTCTCCATACACTGTGCACTTCTTTGCAAACTCTTTGCGAGAACCTTTTGTGGATGTAAGAACACTGCAGCACATTCTGAAAGCATTGACTATGGCAGAATATGCCAGTGCACTGTGAGTGGGTATGGCTGCCTGTAGTCCATTTTAGGAGTGCACAGGAGGGATAGCAAACCTGATCTAAGTAAGAGTTGTCACCCTAGGAAAGTGAAATTTGGAGCAGGGCTGGGTCTGGGGGTGTTCTGCTGTGGGCTGTGCGACTCCCCCCCCCCCACACACACACATTTTAGTTGTGCCCTCCCCCAGGTCTCTGAGAGTGCATCCACTGATCCATGAGCCAGTCTGATGCTGTTGATGTAAGAAGGCATACTGATGGGAACAACTGATGTAACGGGGGACTCTGATGGGGACATCTCATGTAAGGGGGCACTCTGATGGGGACATCTGATATAAGGGAGCATTCTGATAGAGACACCTCATGTGAAGGAGTACACTGACAGAAACACCTGATGAAAGGGGGCACACTCTGATGGTGACACCTAATGTAAGTGGGCACTCTGATGGTGAAACCTGATGTAAGAGAGCATTCTGATGGGGACACCTCATGTGAAGGAGTATACTGATGGAGACACTTGATAAAAGGGGGCACACTCT